CATACCATCACCTCGCATATCCCGGTCATCAGCCCCGAGATCAAAGGTTAAGTGGGTGAAAGGTATATTTCCAACATTCTGTTGGTTCTTGATAAGTACTTTCTTTAGCTTGCAAGAAAACTTTTCAATTCTGTACACGAAATTCCGTACGACGAGTTCGGTGACAGTCTGCAGGCCCGGCTATCTTCTTTACGTGCACGATGAGTGTTTCCTGACTAATTTGACCAAAACGCCTCCCACATTTTTTCGAACGGATAGTAGCAGATAACTTTCCAACGTAAACGATTCTGTACCTCCAGCAAAGGGCTTATTTACAAATTTTGCTTCCAGCGCAATTCTTTGCGTCGATCACTTACAAGAGAGTTTAAGTGCCGTATAACCTTGTTGAATTGATATAGTTCTTTAGACGGTTAATGCAGACATGTAGCATGGGAGCCTGCTCACGCTGCCCATGCGACCAGTGCCTCCTGTCCTCCTCCAGTTTATGGTAAAAGCATTTTCTAGATTAGTTAGTCCCATAGCGTCACATATGTGAGACATCTGTTCTTCATTAGATTATGATAAGCGATTGCACAATATCATGCAGCAAACAGGTTAACTGAGGTAAAAATAACAAAATTGATGCAAGACACTTATAATCTGAGGAGAGTTTATGCATTTTTAGGTTCTAAAATCGAATAATTTGTGGGATGCGATGATCACTTCTTCTCCGAGACTCTCTCAACGAACAGGTTCCTTTAATGCTGCTATTCAAGTAAGCTAACCTTATTTTCCAGTATTGACATCAAAATTTGTGCTGCTTCAAGTGCGATTTGAGATACACCCACCGCCGTTCACTTCGGGAGTCTCACGTCATTAGCCATATTCTAGGCAATCTATGCTGCATCGCCATCAGCTACAAGTTGAGATCATCCATGGAGATGTGACTATCCTCCTCGACAATGTATGATTGATCAAATCCATCCCGACTTTCAAATTCGCATAATCGTGTGCCCCTAGATAGATCGAGAACTCGCCTTTACATGGTACGGTAAGACATTGTAGTCACAAGCGTCCAAATTTTTTTTGCTAGCTTAAAATCTAGCCATCGTCATTTTGTGAGAGGAATTTTAGGGTTTTCCAGTCATTTTTGAACTCCACTTAGGTCATTTCAAGGTGTCAGAGCTAAGGACTGCTCGCATTTAGCGTGTGACTTCAAGGGTTCCTTGGGCTATTTCCACATTTATACACAAGCTTGCACAGATTGCATTTTTTAAAGCAGACTTCACCCTAAGTACTCCATTTGATTTCATAATCCGTAGTAAGAGTAGAACTTCGTGGGTTCAACTAATCAAGGCCATAAGAGAAAGTTTTAAATGAGCCAAAAGGCTTAAATCTGCACCAATGAAAACTAAGCAAAAGAAGATTTCAAAGAACAGGAATATTAAATTCTTGAGTATTATAATGATCATTAAATATGCTGTAATTACTTCTCGAAAGCACATTTTCAGGCAAAACCCACTAAATTTGCGTGATCGTTTGGCGATTTTACCGCACTAAGTAATTGCATGCGAAACTAATTACTTCAAGTGCATCAGTCTCCTGATTACTATATCGAAATCGAGTGATCAGAAACTACTTCTATGGGTATCTGTCGAATAACCAAATTTCTAGTCGGTTTGGCACCTTTGTTTGCTCTAAACTAGCGAAAATATATTACCAAGCAACCTTGGCTTATTCTTGTGTCAAATCCCGGTCAGACACAAAAAGCGACTCTGTCAAGTCCCTTTCAAGCGCCCTTAACTTCCCTGTAGTAAATGTCACGGAAATTATCAACCACTAAGTCTGACATTTTAACTTGTTGGCTTCCCAAAATGATTTCATTTAAAGTGCTTTTTAGCTGAGTCTTAAAATTTTCACTAAAACTGCAGCAATTTTTATTGAACATTTCAGATATTTAGTAGGTAGATCATTTAAAAAGATATGCTAAGTAATAAAAACAATTTTACTTAAATTTATAAGTAGCAGTGCTTTCTACAAAGTTAAAAAACCAGTAAGTAGTTCGATTTGATTCTTTCCTATTATTTCTCACAAAACATTATTTTCTACCAAATATTTAATCGTACTTTGCATAAATTGAGATTACTAAGCCAGTCCGAAAGTATGGAAATGAGACTGAAGACAAAAATGATGATTAAAACAGATTCTGGAAACCTTTACTTACCGAACGCCTTTGGACGTGCAATTAGTAAAAAAACAACCTGTAAAATAAGGAGCCAAATGGCCACAAAATATTTTTCCACAACTTAGCCCGCTAGTGACCATTAATGCTATTCAAGCCGTTGCTACCTAATGATCAAAACAAGCTCCGATTTGTGCCACAAAACATCTACTTCGTGTGTATATAGAACCAACACTAAGGCCCTGACCAATTAAAAACGATGTCAGCTTCCAATCGGCCCAATCGTGGGGCAGCCACACGGCTTGCGCGCTCCTGGAAGCGCTGCCATAGCAACCTACCCGCTCCACCAACCGCAAATGTGTGCCAACCCGACAAAAGTAGGTCAAGATGACTTGTACGTGTCCCAAGATCGATTGGACGATCGTCACGACGGCTACTTTCTCATACGCAGGCAGTTCCACCTTCACGTAGTGAATGGCTACTGTAGTGACAGTTAATGAAATCGCTCCGGCTATCTTTATTCCTTTCTCCAATATAACAAAGGCATAACAAGCGAGAGGGTCTTCCGGTGGAAGTGAACCAAAACTCTTAACTATGCATTTGGCACTTCAAAACCTGGTAAAGAACACTCGCTCACTTTTTAACGCATCCCTATTAAAAATTGCAATAAGGTGACAGTTTGTACTACACATGAATGATGAGGCGAGTGGGAGGGGGGATGTTGCTGGGACTCGAACAAATGCCATTGAGCTGTCTATTTGTGACGATCTTTGGAAGGACACGCCTAGCTGATTGGTCGACATTTCTAGGGCACATGTGCGTTGTGCAAGTGCACGTGCGTGCGTGGGCGCGTTCAAGCGTGCAAGGCCGAGTGAGCCCCCGAATGTGGGACAGGGACAGACACACACGCACATGTTCGGCATCGATCTATTGGATGCGAGCGTGCATGTGCGTGCACGAGTGTGCATGCGTGCAGGCAGAAAGCGTCCATCAGAGTGCTCGAGGTGGGGTAGCAAGAGCGAGCCCACTTGCAGTACCCGTGACGAGAGCAGTTGGGCCCAGCAGCCGGATTTTAGTCGCGCTGCGCAGCTGCCCTTTCGCGTGTCGGCAACCATGCGACGTGAAAATTGCCGTTCGCGGGTTCTGCGGTCATGGTCAACATGGCTAGCCATCCTACTTCTCTTATTCCTCCTCATACTCCCTAATGCTGTCTCCGCCAGAACCTTCCTTTTGGACTTACCTGAAAGTGGGTAACGGTCTCTCTATTGCTTTTGGTCTCCTCTTTTTCGGCTTCATGCTACTACGTGCTAATCCTTTTCGGGAATAGTTTTAAAAGTGTAATTTTTCAAAGTTTGTGCTTTTTTACCATCGACTTCCACTCCTATTTGAGTGTGAGAATAAAAACAATAATAAGTGTCGTTTTGCTGCTGCTTTACTGCAAAAGTGCAAAATAGGGAACGTATTGTTCAAAAGCCCATTATTTCAAAAGCCCCAATATTTCCTTGAATGTCTGCCTTTTCAGGCTGATTTTTCCTTTGGTTGGGCTTCCACGACAAGTAGCGGGTCGAAAAGTTTAAAATACACAAGGCAAGCCCGGGGCAAATATTTCATAATAGATGTTTAATCTGTTGGGCTTGCTTTTAATGCTTCAAAATTATGTGGCACCATAACGACAGGAAACACCGGTTGCTGTCATCGATGGAGTCTCAGCTCCGCGCCTGTTTGTGTTCAAAATTAAGGCGAAATTTTGGTTGATTTGTCTAGCATTTCTGTTGAACTACGAAAATGCCAGAAGGTTTAGTTGTCAACGTAACAATCAAGTTCGTTGCTCCCTTGATATGCTTATTATGAAGCAACGAACTTAAATATGGTTTTAGGAAGTTTTGTTATCTTTCAGACCTGTTGGATAAATGGAAACTTTTGGAAGACAAAAGGAACTTTTGTTGAAATTATCAGAGAAAAGGTGGCAGTTTAAAGTTCTTTTGAGAGGAACAAATCTAAGGCTTCTTTAGGACTACAACATTACGATTACTTATAATTTGTAAAATTTATCTAGCTATTTGGAGTACTTTAGGCATAATTTGCAGGCTGTAAGTCATGGGCTTGTGTACAGTGGAATCAATTTCTTTAGCATTAAAAGTGAGTTTTTTCCACCTTCTCCTTAGGTTCTGTGGACCTGCTGGCCGCCTTCAACCTGGGTGATCAGGCCAACGTCCATATCACGGCGGGCATGTGCGGTCAGGTGCCGATAGAAGATGAAGTTTCCGTTAAACAGCCCATTCCGGACGAGTTTCGTCCAGGTTACCTTATTCTCAAGGAACTTGGGATGAAGAAACTCCTTGCGGATCTCCTAGTTAACACTGGTATGCACCACTAGCTGTATTTGAGCAACATATAGAGTTTCATTCTCTCGAAAGCAGATGTCACTTATTATGAGAAAGTAATTGTCGGTAATGAGGAAGCGGATTGATTTTAATTTCTTGCTGCAATAAGACACAGATTAATTGGGCGACAAATCCATGAGGGAAGTTTCGGAAGAACACACCTTATTCAATTGTGTAATGTGAAATTTTGGAACTTAGTTGGATTCACTATTTACAAAAATTGAACAAAGTAACTGAGAAGGGTGTGTTGCGACAGGTGTAGAATCCTGTTTAACACATTCTTCCGAATTCCCAGTAAAATTCATGGACCAAGTGCTATAAATCTAATCTGCTTACAAGCAACTGTAAAACCCAAAAAAATTCTCAGGAATTTAGAGTCTCAAATTGATACGGTCATAAATTTCCGCATTAAAGAGGCGTGGACTTCAGAAGTCTCGGTGTTCTTCACGCTGAAGATGAAACCGGGATACAAGGGCGAGTTGTTCATTATCTACAGCTCGCAGGGTCGAGTCCTCCTCTCCGTGGGTGTTGATAAGCAGGTAGTGGTGGCCTACCAGGAAGCTGCGGCTGGCGTTAGGGCAGCTCGCATCTCTACCAGCGGTACCGCAATCCACTCCGAGAAGATTGGACCCGCTCTCGATGATAATGAGTGAGTGAAAGCATGTGTAAATGTTCACTGAGGTTGATTTCAGTGATGTCAATTCCCAAGGCATTATCCATCGTCAAGCATGCAATCTACGATTTATTCCAAAAAAATTTTTGAAGTTCTAATATTAGCGTTAAAACTTGGAGTGGACAACTTCTGTTTGGATGATAATGCGTTGAACAATTCAAGAATCCCATATACAGATCTTATGTCAAGTAACACAGGGGTTGTAAGCAGTATGTTATTTGTAAAACTCTGTAAATTCTTCCTAAAACATCGCTTACAAATAATCAAACACATTTTAGCTTCAAGTATTTTTTAAACAGCCCATTTCCAATTGTTTTTGTGAAAGGCAGGACAGGGATATCTCCTTGAAATTTGTTATTGAGGGGACCTTAATATCCCCATCAATGGTTTATATTGTACTATTTTCTTCAGATCGTAGCATACGAATTTTAAGGCCTTGTCTCCTTTTAAATTATGCTTTAAAACCCATATGATTGCCAATCACGGGAGTTTTTTTATTCGTTAGGAGATTTCAATGGGTGCGGATGAGCTTAACTTTTCAGAGAACTTGATCCAATTTAACATCAATGTTGGGATGAAAATATTAATAACTTGATATTCCAGCAGTTGCTGTTACTCATAGGAATTCGTGTATAAGTGGGAAATCCTAGTGAGATCCATCTTGGAGGTGAACAATTCTGAAAAGGTAATCCCCTTGTTTTCAGATGGCATCGCGTTGGATTGAATTTCAAGGATGGTCGTGTGCGCCTCGCCGTTGATTGCAAGGCGGTGGAGGAATCCACCATCGTCCTTCCCGTCAAATTTATCGACAAACGCAACACCCTTAGCCTCCTTCCCCATGGCTTTAATGTGAGTTCCGCTAGCTCCTACCTCCGTTTTTTTCAGTTTTATTCACTTTGATACAATTTCGAAGAGTTTGATGAATCTCCACACTTTCTCATCGTGTGTAGACTGATAAGGCAGATTTGGCATATTTTTGCCTTACTACTAGTAGTGCACGCATTAGAGGCTGCTTCTATTAACGCTTTTTCTCCGAAAGGCTTGAAATTTCTAATCGTCAAATTTGAACAGGCCAACTTTTAGCGTACTTTTTTACTGCTCTAACATAAAAGAATAAATAAATGAAGTCTAAAGCTGTAATGGTTTCAAGTATCACAGTTTGTATTCCTCTCATAGAGAGTCAAACATCAACTGTTATCTGGGGATGATAACGTCCATGCATTCTACGACTTTTCCAGGGTGTCTTGCAAGACCTGATGTTGGTGCTGGGAGACCGGAGTCTGGAGCAGCAGTGCCTCATCTACACTCCTGACTGTCCCACCGACGTTGACGATGCCATGATGAATGATGAGGTGAGCTGTGCTATTCAAGGGCAAAATCTGGAGTAAATTCATCGCTGTCGGCGGTACCTTTTATTTTTTTCTCACTCATTGAATTTATGTACTTTTAATGGGCGTTGACTTACGGTTCATGTTTTCGCATGAAAATGAGTTCAGTATTTTGCATTTTAGCCATCGGAAAGGCCGGCTCCGGGTCAGGTAAGCTTAATGTTTTTTTAATAACTTCGAATTCTTTCACTCTTTACTTATGGTCCTAATCAAAGTTGGGTGCTAGACTTACGACTTTTTGTCCTGCCAAAGCATACTAAGATAAGTCCGTACTGTTGAAAGTTCGCATTCGCTCCTCCATTATGGAGCAAGGCTACGTAATTAGTATAGCTTCGCAGTGGCTGCTTTCAAACCCTGTGCTATAAGCAAAACTCCCTATCACGGCAATTTGGCATTATGAGGCTCAATAAGATGTGCTACGATTAATCGCCTGCTTGCATGATTGATTTACCAGCATAACACCGATTCTAGGGTGAACCTGGAGAACAGGGCGACCCCGGAGAACCTGGTGAAAAAGGTGAACCCGTAAGTGTTGCAATTCTTTAATGCATGTTTTTTGTTAGCTAGTCTTTTATTTCACTGAAAACCCCTGAAACTGTGTGTGCTACGATGCGTCACAAAATAAATGAGCATTTTTTAACAGCTGCTGTTTTTAGGGGTAATGTCTGCCGCAAAACGCTCCTCGACTAAATTAGATCTTTACCTTTAACACAAAAGATAGATTTTAATAAATGTGCTAGTTATTTTTAGCATTTTTAGAAGATTTACCTATCAATGATGTTTCTCTAAGGAAAGGTGGAAACCTACCCATGCTGCTCGGTTTCCGGATTAAGGCACTTCCAACGTTTTTTACTATCATTAATCTAATTAATGGTTTGCATTTATAACCCATTTAAAGAAATGTCCCGGAATGCTATAGAAGCAGAGCTTTTGAACAGGATTTAGATGAGAAAAATTGGCTCATTGCCTGCCTTGGTTGCAGGGTAAACCGGGTCCACGAGGTCCGGACGGAGAACAGGGTCCCCCTGGTCCCACGGGCTCGCTCTTTGTGGTGCCGCTTAATTTGGGCATCGGTGGTGGCGCAAATGCACGTGCTGCCCACTTCAGACAGCTGCTTCAACAGCACCTGGTATGTCTATTTACACCATCTAAATTGCATGAGTTCTGTAGGTGCCTACTATCTGCAACATATTTTAAATGTATTCCATCCCCTTGCGTAGTTATATCCATGCTGTGAGACTGTGAAACAAATTGATTGGGGTCAAATCTATTGGTCGGAGAACCCTGAAAATCTTATATTATTCTTAATTATCATGTTCTATCAGAAAATGTTCTCTAAACTCCGATGGAATAAATAATCATTTTTGCGAAAAAGTAGTATCTAACCAATCAACCAATGAATTATCTCCTTTCTTTCCTCATCCCAGGAGTCTCTCAGAGGCGTGCATGGACCCCGAGGTTTGACGGGTCCCACAGGTCCAGACGGCCCTATGGGTCCTCCTGGTCTCAAGGGGGAGACTGGTCCCCAGGGTGACACCGGTCTTCAAGGTCGGAGAGGTCCCATGGGTCCTGTTGGCTTCCCCGGACCTAGAGTGAGTTAGTTACTCAAAGGCTCTCCAACTGGATTTATATTTAAGAAGTGTACTCTAAGCACCGCTTATTTCTAAGTGTGTTCCACGATTTTCATTGAGCAAGCAAATATGGTTTATTCGAAAATTTGACATTATTAATGAAAATTTGCGATGAAGGGAAATTGGAGTCGATTCAATTCATGGCAAGTATATATTTGAAACTGGGAGTAAAAATAGGATGAGCGAAAGATAATAGAATGAGGCAACATTTTGAGTATATTTTAATCAGTGCCATAGATTTTATCGTGAATGAACTGGAGATAACTTCTTTTTAGGTTTTGCAAGTAGTAATTTAGGGATCAGCCTTATGTACACAAATAGTAAAATTAATGTTAAATATCGGTACGATTGTATCCCCACCACAAAAGGTTTTTGCCAGTATAGATGGATTTATTGATCTTTGTTTGCATTTCAGGGCAAGACGGGTCGAGACGGCGACCGCGGTGACCCCGGTCCCGCAGGTCCCAAAGGCCCAGATGGTTTGCCTGGTGATTCAGGGTTGATGGGTCCCAAAGGCCTCAGGGGACCTCGTGGTCCACCCGGCCCAGTAGGAGAACAAGGATCTCCTGGTGAAGAGGGGTCTCGCGGTCCCACTGGTGACGCTGGTGACCAAGGTGACATGGGCTCATACGGTCCTCGCGGTCCACCGGGTCTGCAGGGTCCCCTTGGCCCCAGGGGTAAGACTGGAAGTCGAGGACCCGTCGGCCTTCAGGGCGAGGTGGGTGAACCCGGTCCTACCGGAATGCCTGGTCCCATGGGTCCACCTGGTCCCGCTGGTCCAGAGGGTCCTGCCGGTCCTCGGGGTGTAGTTGGACCTCCTGGTCCTCCCGGAAAGCAGGGACCTCCCGGCGCTACTGGTCCTGAAGGCCGTCCTGGCTATCCCGGTTAGTTTTAGTAAAGGCTACTGACATCTACTTCCTAAAATTAGTCAATATATTTAGAAGCTGTATACAGAGTTGTGAAATCTTGGAATTTAGTAAATGGATGGCTTAAACTACCTGCGCGTTAAGGCCATTTGAAATGCTGACTTCTAAATGGGACAATTGACCTGCAAGGAGATGTAATAGCAAATTATGGTGTGAATTAAAGTATATTCCTTCAGTTGTTTATTGCCGTAAAAATTACTCACTTGAATACCCTAATATGTTACATGAATTGATCCAAATAGGAAAATCCCATTTTTAAACCTGTGCTCTCACAATGGAGAGTTGATTCATCTCTAGTTACCTTCCCATGACAGGTTCAAAGGGAGAGATGGGCCTTAAAGGAGATACTGGTCCTGAGGGTCAGAAAGGCGAACCCGGTTTACCTGGACCCAGGGGGGTAAAAGGTGCGCGAGGCATTGTGGGCATCTCGGGCCCTAAGGGTGACACCGGCAAGCCTGGAGCTGTCGGTGTCCCTGGCGAGGCGGGTCCGAAGGGTCTCAAGGGCAGCCGAGGCTCCCCTGGTGTTATGGGACTTATGGGTCCTCAGGGTGAGAAGGGTGAGCCTGGCAAATCTGGTCCATTTGGTCCCCGTGGTGATCGCGGACTTCAGGGTCCTCCCGGTCTCATGGGACCTGCTGGTCCCCAGGGTCTGCTCGGTGACCCCGGACCCACTGGCCCAGCCGGCCCTCAAGGACGCGAGGGCGACAAGGGTGAGACTGGTCCTGTTGGACCTCCTGGTGCTGATGGTGAACAGGGACAGCATGGAGCTCCCGGCCCTCGTGGCATACAGGGAAAGGTCGGACCTGCTGGAGAGAAGGGTGATAAGGGCGCTACCGGTCCTCCGGGTCCTCCAGGTCCGACTGGAGAGCTAGGTTTTCAGGGTCATCCTGGTCCCAGTGGTCTTCCTGGTCCTGCTGTAAGTTGGGAAGGGACTCTTGCAAAATTATGATGGTGACGGGTTGTCTAATATTATCATCCGTTTTCTTACAGGGACCCATGGGTCGGCAAGGTCCCCAGGGATTCCCCGGACCTCGTGGTGAGCCCGGTGAAATCGGGCCTCCTGGGCCTCGTGGACCGATTGGAATGACGGGTCCTGTTGGTCCAGCAGGTGACACCGGTCCTGAGGGTTCACCTGGTCCAATTGGTCCTCGTGTAGGTTCTTGTAATAATTAGTAATTCAGTCTTCTTTTTAAGTTTTATGCTCCCTCAAACAGGATACAGTGAACAAACTGCATACAGCTTATTTGGCTGAGTTTTGTGTTCACTGGTATTTCAAAAATAATTTCTCTTGTACTCAGGAGAAATTCTTAATTTTTTCCAACAGGGTCCAACCGGAGACCCAGGCAAAGAAGGCAAGGATGGACCAAAGGGTGACAAGGGTCCTAAGGGTGAACGCGGTAACCGCGGCCCCCCTGGCCAACGTGGTCCTCGGGGCTATCTCGGCCTTGACGGAATGCCTGGTCCTGCTGGTCCAGAGGGCTTCAAGGGTGAGACTGGACCCGATGGTGAAGTCGGACCCACAGGTCCTAAGGGCTATCGTGGTGATGCTGGAATTCTGGGACAGGTTGGACCTCCGGGTAGGAACTGCTTTGGTGAAATGAAAAATATCTTTTAGGCAGTAAACTGGTTTATCATCCTGAAATCATTTTAAAGGAGATTAGCTAGCTTAGCAATGCTTAATTAAGGACAAATATTTTCAGTCATTCAATCTATTTCCATTTGGATTGGTAGCCTCCTCCCTCCCGAGGCCACTTCCAAAGACAAAGGTAATGGAACCATTTTTAGCATTTCTAGCGAGTTTCTACGACTCCTTACAGGTCCCCTTGGTCCAAGAGGCGCTCAGGGTATTCAAGGCGAGAAGGGTCCCAAGGGACCCGATGGTGCTATGGGTACCGTCGGTCCACCCGGATCCCGTGGCTCGCGCGGGCGTTCGGGCCCTACCGGGCCCATTGGTGCGCCAGGATTTGATGGCGAGAAGGGCGAACGCGGACCCCCCGGACCTCAAGGGAAGAAGGGACCTCCTGGACCTCAGGTAGAATTGCTACAAAACGGACAGAAGTCGTGACACATCTGTAGATGGGACATCTACTATCCTTTTCCTGTTTATTTTTTAGGGTCCGAGAGGTATTGTTGGACCCATCGGTAGTGCCGGAATGCCCGGTATTCAGGTGGGAACCTTTGCGCTTTCCTTTATGATCATTTTCTTGCAAAGATTCGTTTCTTGCGACTGAATTTGATGCATTTTGGAGAGAAGAATACACATTTTGCACGATCCAATTTTGACTCGGTGCATTCAGTTAAAACGCATAGATTATTAATGGATCCAGGAAAATGGTTTTGAGAACTGAAGTTAGCTTTCTTTGAAGATCGAAGTTCTGGATCTTTTGGTCTGCAACCTTTTGATAAAAGAATAGGTTCACTCGGAGAGGTTTCGTTTCATTAAAAAGATCTCTTTTTTTCCTTTGAATGGGGGGTAAAATGTTATTCGAACGTTCAGATCTGCAATCTTTTTTCCTTATAATCTTTTAAGAGGAAAAGTGGTACCCACTTTTATATATATGTATTTTGATATTCCCTCATCTCAGGGGCCCCCGGGAGCACCTGGTCAGCCGGGTGAGCCAGGCCCCATGGGCCTGATAGGCCCAGATGGTCTCACCGGTCCCTCCGGTCTGCCCGGACCAATGGGTATGGAGGGTGCCCCTGGACCAATCGGCAAGCGCGGACCGAAGGGTGACCGTGGTCGTGAGGGTCCGCAAGGCAGCCCTGGCCCTATGGGCCCCATGGGTTCCATGGGTCTCACCGGACCTGCCGGCAACCCAGGCCCAACCGGCCCCGCCGGAGCTGTGGGAGAACCCGGAGACAAGGGACAACAGGGACCCCGCGGTTCTCCTGGCTACGAAGGCAGCCCTGGTAACCAAGGTCCTCAAGGCCGAAAGGGTCCAGATGGACCTGCTGGTCAAGTTGGTCCTCCTGGCGACCCTGGAATGGAAGGCCCTATTGGGCCTCAAGGTCCTACGGTAAGTCTATCGACTAGGTCATCGAAATTGTGTCTTTCATAAATAAAGTAACGGAAATCAAGAATTGCTGTTCTTGCATACCTTTACTTTGAATGGTCCTGGTTGTTGGTTGTTGTAACGTCGCGACGTTAATTTTAAATGTCCACCTAAGTTTGTGATTACTTTTGGAGAATATTCATCCTGGAAACTATGCAACTTCCACATATTCTTTTAAAGCAATTAAAAGTGCGTAGATATTTAAGCATTTTTAGCAATTAAACAATATAAATTTGAAGCAAGTTTATAATCATCTATGTTTGAATGGGCTTATTCCTTCAAGTATGTAAACTTGTGGAAGCTGACTAACCCAAAATTCAGAAGTCGCCATTTCCTCTTTTTATTTCTAGGGTCCCTTGGGTCCTCCTGGTTCACAAGGAGCCCGTGGTATCCCCGGTGGAAGGGGTAGTCCTGGTCCAGTTGGTGAAGATGGTGCCCCCGGCAATACGGGTCCTCAAGGAAAGCCGGGACCTCGTGGTCCCCCGGGTCCGCAGGGTCCTCAGGGACCTGCCGGACAGGCAGGTCCCCAGGGCTTGCCCGGTCCTCGTGGTAGCAAGGGCCCCAAGGGTGAACCCGGACCTCAGGGTCCACCTGGAGAGACTGGAAACCCCGGACCTCGAGGTTTGAGTGGACCACCTGGACTGCGAGGACCCCCTGGACCGGCTGGATTACAGGTCAGATGAGTTGTTTTGCTTTTCTTCTATGCGAATTCAATCCAAGCAGTTTTAGGCGTCGAAGTACGTTATTTGTTAAAAAAAATCACCGTCAACACTCTGTCTTTAGAAGCAGGCAAGCACACAGCTCTAGCCACTTAAGTTTCTCCCACAACTTTACTTCCCAACTGTCTAATTCAAATACAATCACGTGATTGTTAGGCGCTACTGTCAAGACACAGAGAAGTGTCATCTGTCGCCTATCTTAAAGCTTATCGGTGTGAGATACAAGGACTTACCATGTCTTTTTTAAGAATATAGATAGCACTTCCGTCTTAACATCTGACTAGCCAGCCCTGCCTATTTTTCAAAAACCAAAGTTTGGGAACCCCTTTCGACTGTATTGAGTTTCATTAAATAGAGAGATTGCTGCTGTACTTGTTATTTGACCTTCAGTAAGTGGGCAAATCGAAATAAACCCACTCCCAGTTAATGACGCGCACACAATAAGCGTAGTCTTCTGGGCTGAATATGAAATGGGAAGCACTTTGGAGATGTGGAGTGAGTAGTGCGTAGATCGTTTGGGACTAACTGATGACTAGACTATTCGTTTGTGTTATGTCATCAGTTAATGCATGCGAAAAGAACCCCAACTTTCCTTTCCCAGTCGATCTGGTCGTGAACCAATTCTCGGCATTCTGATCTCCATCCGTTTTAATCAGCTGCAACTCCCACTTCTTCGTATGCAACCTGATGCACCTGTACCTATGTGATTAGTTAACATAACCGACTTTTCAAAACATTTCTACTGATTCACTGCCTCCAAATTCTTCAGAGTTAACCGGTGTTTTATGCGATCTCGAGATCAGAGGGAAATAACACAGAGCATAATGAGGAGCACCAGTGGACCGAAACATATCTATGTTAAGTGGTGAACTTGAACAATCACATAAATTTCACAGGTCTCTACCAATTTAAGGAATTCGTTGAAGTAAGCTGTATCAGATGCCTCACGAACCCTTTTTGATGTACACCGCAAAATCCTACCCAGCTTATCAAGCATAAAACAAACACCCATTCGTTTGAAGGATGAACACGTGTGTTCCATACCAGAGTCTTCACAAGCGGAGACTTTAGCTTTGACTCCACCAAAAACCTTTGGCAAATTGTATTTTTTGGCGACCTCAATCAAACTGATTCTTGGTCGTGTTTAGTTCATCCACTTTATCTGCTTGATGGTCAATCATCCTTGATAATTTTTCCAATTACTTTTCACCATTTTCGATTTTAGGGTCCACCGGGTGTCAAAGGACCCGAGGGAGAAGTCGGACCAGAGGGTATTCCTGTGAGTGACATTTTCAGTCCTTTTTGCTACACGTCTTTCCACATTCCAATCTTTTATCCAAAAAGCGGTCTTATTTGCTATCTGCTTACGCAGATAGTAATAATGATATCGGTGCATTCTCGAGATTAAATCACTATTAATTACTTTTTTGAACGGCTTGTCAACGCCAATATACTGTTCCGGACCGAAATCTCAACTAAATATAATTTTCGTTCATGCATTTAACCGATAAATTGGTGGTATTATTAGCCCGTCAGTTGCTAAGGTTGAATAACCCAAGAAGCCACAGATCTCTGAGCCAGCATCGTAACAAAATCACCAGTCCCAATAGGGCTTACTACCAGACAACAATACGTTCCCCTACACTGTGCTTCCGCGTTAGTAACCCCTTTAATGATACTCCAAATATGGTGGCCAAAAGGGGCTCAAGCCACAAAAATAGGGCATCCTAAACACGGGCGGAAACGATGTTAGGAATTTTCCTATATCTAGTCTTGAGTCACCCAGGTTATGTGTGAAAGAATAGATTTTACCTGACTTGTCAAACCAAGTTAACACGTAATCTAAGTATAAATCTTCTTATTTCCTTAGGGAGCAACTGGAGCAGACGGAGGGAAGGGAGAGACAGGTCCGAAGGGACCAAAAGGCGCCTATGGTCCGGTGGGTCCCATGGGACCGCCCGGGCCTAGGGGCGAGCGCGGTCCGACAGGTGTAGAGGGCGAACGTGGACGTATCGGTCCCAAGGGTGCCCAGGGACCTCCCGGACCTACCGGTGATCCTGGCCCACCCGGCGATTCTGGCCCCCCCGGTCCTGAGGGACCTATGGGTGTTCGTGGACCTGTTGGTAAGTAAATGATTCACCTATCTGACTGCTGACTGTATTTAAAATCGTGGCCCAAATCCACTGATTTCATTAATTGGCTCTCAGGTCCTGGTGGTCCACGCGGTCCGAAGGGCAAGCCAGGTCCCCAGGGTCCCCCCGGTCCTCCTGGTCCCGTAAAGATTCTCGACCTCACCGCAGGCTACTTCAAATTCGAACCGGGTCGTACCAAGAGAAGCATTAACGAGGACGAGCTCTACGATATGAAGGATCCTGATGCCAGCCTCTTCCCCAACAACGTGCCGGCCATCGGTGCGGTGTTGCGTCGCCTCTACGCACGCATTGAAAGTCTAGAGTCAGCGGTGCGATACTACCGACGTCCCATCGGCACGCGCGCTTACCCGGCGCGCCACTGCCGCGAGATTATGGAAGCCACAGACTCGCCGCACGGCCCCGTCTCTGGCGAGTACTGGATCGATCCCAATCTCGGCTCGAGTCGCGATGCCATCAAGGTGGAGTGCAAGTTCTCTGGCAGCGTCGCCAAGACCTGTGTCCATGCTACACCTGAATCCAAGGCGGTGAGTCCTTGTAAACCGCCGAAGATTTGTGATTTTGTGCGGCTTTTCTCGGTATACCAAGCAAAAGAGCCTTTAGAATTGTATGATTTCTTGCACCTTACTCAAATAAAGTTTATTGAGACATTGCTATGGGTTAGGAGACGGTCAACTGAGCTTCCAAACTTAAAGCTCAAAGGAAACTGAATTGCTCTCCAGTACGAAAAAAGTTACTTATACATCTGTCCTAATTATCTAATCGGTGATTCATTTATGGTTCTTTGCAGCTCCGTCTGGTCAACTTGAGGAAGAGCGGTGGCGAAGGCAGTTGGTGGTTCTCCAAGCTTTTGGAAGGGAACACCAATGGAACTCAACGCGTATGTCAAAAAAGTTGATGACTCAAAAGCGAAAATATAAGTTAGCCAGACTGGCTGGAACGAAGTGGTATTTGAGGTATTTCTTGGAGCATTTTGAGGCCTTGTAAGTCTCATTATCACACCGGCGTAGGTTTTTGTAGTGTCTTTAAAAGTTTGAAATTCAAACGGTTGAAGGTATGAAGCCAAACTTGACTGCGTTGATAAAGATGAATTCGCTTTTTTTCTTGCGTACTTTGTAGTTGTACTACGCGCCGCGAAACCAGTTTAACTTCCTCCAGTTGCTGCACCACCGGGCGGAGCAGTCGATTACGGCACTGTGCCGTGGCTCCGTTGTCTATTACGACAGCCGCAACAAGAACTACGACTTGGCAGCCAACTTGCTTCTCTTCAATGGCAAGGTCATCAACACCCACCTCGATCGACGAGTTCGTGGCGAGGGCGGCTTCGTCCAACTGGAGGTCAATATCAAGGATGACTGTATGGTGCGTCTCATCCTCTGTTTCACTTCTGCGCTTTTTGGCTTTGATAAACATATGTACAAATGGATGAGCATTTGGTTTTTAGTCTCACCAAAAGGGTAATGCAGGGGCTGAATTAATCCCATAACGTCTTTAGGGAGTAATTTTGAACTTGTAATGCTGTCACGTAATACTGGTGCGCTAGGTAACTTTAAAACAGTCAGATGGTGTTATTTTTTCTAGGACCGCTCACCGACCGGCTCGACAGCTAATTTCGATCTAGTTGCCAACCATCCGGAACTTCTGCCCATTATCGACATGAAAATGTTCGACTTTGGCGAGGACAATCAGCAGCTTGGTTACTACGTCAACGAGGTCTGCTTCTCTTAGACAATCCTCCAACCTCTAAACTTTCCCGTGCTTCATTCACTCACCAGCCCTGAATAACAATTAACACAAACAAACCACGCATTGATTCTCCTTTTTGCGCCAAATATGCAGCCTATTCCCCCAACGTGTACACCAGAATCCACTTCCCCCCCCCCCCCCCTCCTTCTCCCACTCTTTTCTCTCTCCCTTCTCTCTCCGTCTTGTTTTGTGATACCGTATGGCTAAATACATTTCACGCCTGTGCCTTACTGTGCTGTACAGGCCAGTGAAGTATGAGTGCACGTGCTTGCGTACGGCAGTAAAAGAACCATGTTGGTAAATGATTACCTCGATTCTTCCCTTTTGTGCGACCTTCAAATCATGTGGTCTGATGCTGTTTATCAAGGCTAATGCTCCGATGTTTCCTTTTTATTTGGTTCTGGTGGTGGGAGTTCCGTAAAGGTATAAGTGAGGAGCTTATACATGGGAATCGGCAACTGGCAAGGTACTGCGGAAAGTAGTCTTGTAGATATGATTGCATTACAAATTTGCAAGGTAGCTTGTAATGCTTAAATTGTTTGCTAAACTCTTGCTTTTGGTAACAGGTAACTTTAGGCTCCACCATTGTACCGCAAACGGGTAGCCTGGCCTCCAGGTATGTCAGCAGCCCCGAGTCCTCCTGCAGGTCGACAATTCGAGAGATTTCGGTGAGATTTTAGCGTCCTGAGACATCCCCAAAGGCAACAAAGACATATTAATACTCAGTATAATATACGTTCAATCACAGAAGGCGCAAAGTCAATCGAGTTGCATCAGAAAGTAAAAGCAGGCCTCAATAGCTTCGGTTTATAGATCTCAATAAATGAAAAATTGCTTTTGACCTCAAACTTGTAACCATAAACGCGATCCTCCCACTGTCCTATTGGCCGAATTAACATGCTGCGAGAGAAAAGAAATAGCGTTGTTAAAAAAAAAAGGGAAATCACCACGTGGGCACTACTTCTTCTACACCGGCGTTTCCTTTGGTTTATTGCCTGTGTCGACAATCATAATGTAGTCGGTGCTTTAAAAACCATCCAT